ATAATAATATATATTTAAGAAAAAGAAAAACCTGTTTTAAAAAAATATACATCTATATATTTAATATAATAATAATAAAATAAACTATATTTTAATCTTGAAGATAAGGTTGATACTGAAGGGAAGGGTATTGTCATGACATTAAGGATAAAAAAGAGAAATTTATACAAAGGGTAAATCAGTCCTTTGCATGCATCAATTAGGATTAGAGAGAGAGCAATGGTTTGAATGTATTTTCATAGCAGTCATCGCTGTATCATAAATGACCACTAATTTCGGGTAGTGATTGGGGTGCTTTCATTATTTAATATTCTATAAAAGATTTAATCTTTGTGCTTGAAATTAGAAAGGAAAATAATAAGAATAATTATATAAGATTTCTCTCTCTGTTTTTCTTCTATCTCTCTTTTCTTCTCTCTTCTCTCTTTCTTTTTTTTTCAAGATCAGACAGTTATGTCAAAAGCTTTTGACAATCTGCTTCCTCTTACGAGCGGCAGCCACCTTCTTATTGCTCCCCCGAACAGCACACATAACATAGAAGTATTTCAATCCTTATTTAAACCCGCACTAAACCGAATTGGACCTATGGAGAAAGTAGATTGAATCGTTTCGACCTAATCTAGTCTAGACTAGCTCGACCCAACCTGAATTGTTTTGAACCAAGCCAAATCGAAGTGACCCGATTTAAATTGAATTATCTTATTTATAGCTCGATGGACGCTATGTATCGCACCAAGCCCCCTCAAATCGGGTCGGTTCGGGTTAGTCCAAATAGTTACTGAATTGACTTATTTACCAGGCTCGATGTGATGCATATGGTCTATTGGGCTGCAAATAAGCTAGTTCAGTTCAATCAAATCGATTTAAATTGGCGCGGTTCAAATAAGTTCAAGTCAAGTTGAGTTGGTCCATACCAGGTTAGATCGAACCGATTCGATCCACTTCCTCCATAGGTCCAGTTCGGTTCAGTGCGGATTTAAATAAGGGTTGAAATACTTTTATGTTATGTGCATTGTTCGGGAGAGCAGCAAGAAGGTGGTTGTCGTTCGAGGGAGGAAGCAGATTGTTAGAAGTGTTTGACATAACTGTCTAATCTTAAGAAAGAAAGAAGAGAGAAATAAAAGAGAAACAAAAAGGAAAATATGAGGAAAAATTTTATTTTTTTTATTGATTATAATATAAACATTGAGCATTTTATAGATTATAAGTAATTAAAGCATATCATAATATAAATCAATGAAGTAGTGGCTAGCTGGTATGAAGTAAATTCAAAATATTAACTTTAACTCTAACCCTAATTGATTCTTGTAAAAGATTAATTTATCCCTTTTATTATTTTTTTTTTTTTTACTCTTAATGTAATGATGATATCCTCAACTTGTTCCTAACATTAAAATATAGTTTATTATTATTATTAGTATTATTATTATTATTATTACTATATAGATATATGTACAGGTTTTTTTTTCCTTTTTCATATATACATATATACAAAAGTAGTTATATATATGTTAATTATTTAATATATGTATATATCTTTTTTTTCTGAAGCATTTTTCTATTGTCCAATAAATCAATTTTTTTTTATTATTATTATTATATATAGATGTAGATATATATATTTTTTAAAGCAGCTTTCTACTACTTCCACCCTGTAAAAATTTGAATTTCATTGATTGCCGGCACCCTCCATACCACCAACACAGTCGTTTTCGGGCGATGTAATCATGCTGCTGCAGTAACACCTTCTTCTTCCACCTCTTTTTCTTTCGCTTCTCCTTCTTCCGTTTCTCCTTTTCCAGATCAGAACCCATCTGGAGAACAAGAGACCTGCAAGTTCCCATCTTGACCTCGCGCGGATTAACGCAGAACTTGAGCAGAGCTTCCAGGTGACAGCTCTTTTTGGCTGGTTGGCTGAGACATACAATGGAGAGACCTCTAGGGTGCTCATTCTCGGCCACTACTGCTTGAGAAAGAAAAAGAAGGGGAGCAAGTGAACCAATTTAGTTCAAAATGTTGGCTGGACTAGTTCGAATCGAATAAATTAGCAAACTTAGTTCGGTCTGTGTTGTTTGGCTTGGTTCAATAACTGAACCGGTTTTAGAGTTTATTTTTTTATTTGAACCCCAATTCTTTTCTTCTTCTTCATCACGCGGAAGAGGGGTCGGCTGTTCATTAGGTGCGGTCCCTTAAGCCTTGAGTCTCGCATCGTCCAAAAATGCCTCCTCCAAGTGTGCCAAGCTTTCTTCGGTCCAGTCGTCAGATTTACCACGGAGCAAATCCAGGATCATGCTGAACTGTCGCCGCGATTCTTCCATGAAAGCAATGAGTTCCAGGTCGATCTCCTTCACAGTGATCGCTTCCGGATTCTCCGGTTCCGATACCACCTTGTCAGAAGTCTTTGAATTACTGTCTAATCTTGAAAAAGAAAGAGAGAGAGAAGAGAGAAATAGAAGAGAAACAGAGAGGAAAATCTGAAGAACAATTTTATTCTATTCTTTTCCTTAATTGATTATAATATAAGGATTGAGCCTTTTATAAGTTATAAGCAATTAAAGCAATTACTATCGTAGCCGAAATCAATGCAGCAGTGGCTGCTATAAAATAAGTTCAAAACATTAAGTATAACTCTAACTCTAATTGATACTTTTAAAAAATAAATTTACTTTTTTTAATAATTTTTCTCATTTTTTTATCTTTAATATCCTGACAGAAACCTCGTTTACTTGACTACTACTAGGCCAAATTTGATGTTTTCAATTAATTATTTATCAGTATTTATGAATTTACCTAGTGAAAAGCACCTTGGGACAGTAAGAAGGGTGTTGAGGTATTTAATGGGAACTTCTAGTTACGGCACTTGATATTTAAGAGATAAAAGTGGTGCCTTGTAAGGATAGTAACTAGGCAGGAAATTCAGATGATTGCAAGAGCACATTAGAATTAATTTTCTCATTTGGTTCTAGTGTTTTTACTTGGAATGCCAAGAAAGAGGTAGTAACTTAGTCCACTGTTGAGACTGAATATATAGCAGTGGCAACAGCAGTAAACCAAGCTATATAGCTTAAAAAAATTTTGAATAAACTTAATACAGTGCAGGTGGATCCTATTATTATTTATATGGATAATAAATCTGTCATTACAATTTTTAATAACACAGTTCAACATGGAAGGACAAAAGATATTAAAGTGAAATATCATTTTTTTCATGATGCTTAAAAGGAGGGTGAAGTTTAATTGGTGCCCACAATTCAAATGATCAAGTTGCTGATATAATGACAAAACTCTATCTAAGTGCAAATTTGAAGATTTGAGAGTTAAATTTAGTTTGTTCAATGGAAAATTCAAGCAGAAATGTTGAATCTTGAGTTTTCCGTAGAATAAGTAACTAATTTTTTGTCAATTCAATCCTATATCTACTGTTTTCTTTTAGCATTGACAGCTTTAATTAATAAGGTATCAAATAGGAATAGAACTTCATAATTTGTATTCGACGTCATACTTTTCAGATTTAATCCTATTATGTATCAGAGTCAGAGTCAGGAGAATTAGTTGATGACTTAAAGCTGTAAGCTCTTTTCTCAGTTTTGTATATTCGTCAAACTAATGGAAAAGTGAAGGCATTTTGAACACTTTCCTAGCAGAAAACTCCCTTATCTTTTCTGTATTTCTTTCCACTCTGTTTTCTTCTATCTATTTTAAGGGATTTAATCAACTCATCTATCAACAGACTCCATTCCTCAGGGGTCTTATCCGTCTAGTCCTTGCCAGTAGAATAAGTAATCCAGCTCCTTCATTAAACCGGAATACTTCATACACATATTTGCAAAGTCTTCATGCCATTAAGAAGCCAGAATTGCAGGAGAGCCAAGAGACTGAAGCTTCAACCTCTGAGAGACATAACCTGGAATCAATACCAGGGCTTTAAGCACTTTCCAAATTGATTTATATGTATGTTTATTTTCAGGCAGGTGAATTTTGCTAAATGTTTAAGGCCTACATGATGTAATATCTGTTGATCCTTCTGAGTTCTTGAAAGATAAGGGAGCTTAATTGCAATTGTCGCCCAACGGGGCGTTTAGTGTTTAAGTCAACGTGTTGGCCTAAAACATGTCTTTTCTGATAGAGAAATTAAGTGTGAATTTGTAATTTTTATAACATTTCTGAATTTGTCCAAATATAACCTGAAATCACATACTATCAGATTGGTGGGTCAAGATCTTTGAGAGGGTTGACAATTTTTATTGAATGCTCTGGAAGCATTTCATTCTCAAGAGTTTTGAATAATTGGAGCACATCTGCATTGACCTCTTCTCGAGCTTATATACTAATTATCACAGAAATAAATTATGCAAATGTTCGTTAGCTCTTTTATAGTTTATAAATTCTGCTTAGAGATACATGGCTGCCAATCAACCATACAGCTCATATGATGAACTCAAATTATCAGTTTTAAAACAACAGAGAGTCAACGCTTTGGATTAGTATAAGTTTATCTGAGCTTAATGTTCATACCAAAACTAAAACAGAAGTAACTTTTATGATAATTACACATTTGTGTATTTCTATTAACAGTTCAACCAAAAGCTAAACTGACAAGCAAATTGTACGTTAAAATTTTTATCCAACTATTAATCTGTACTCAGTCAAACAAAACAATTCCCCTGCTGAGTGTTCAGACAAAGAAACTGAGAAATTATTTTGAATAGTCGGTTCACACTAATATAATTTCTATGATGAGATTTTTATCAAATTATTAATAAAAAATGTGATAACAAAATCAGTATATACTAGTTTGTACAAAATAATTTCTTTGAAAATTTCACAAACCAAATAGATTAGCTGGTATTAAAGTCCAGATGATTCATGCTCCCTGATTATTTCTTTATTTTTTTAATTAAACTTGCGTGATTAATAGATTGCAGTTTATGTGCACACCATCTACTACCTACCCAGAAAAGTCTCAACAGAAAGACAGATTTGGATTTGGATTGCACAACATGGACCTGAGATTGTATGAGGCCGCTCAAACTGGAAACATCAGCTACTTTCACCAATTGTTAACAGAGAATCCTCTAATCCTCCACAACACTTCCCTGTTCTCTACTTACAATCCACTGCATATTGCCTCATCAACCGGACACGTTGACTTTGTTAAGGAGATTATTAAGTTTAAAACCTGAATTTTCCCAAGAAGTTAATCAAGATGGATTTAGCCCTATGCACTTGGCTGCTGCAAATGGGCATGTTGAAATTGTAAAGGAGCTTATGAAAGTTGATGATAAGAAACTTTTCAGGGTGGAGGGCAGAGACAAGAAAACACCTCTTCACCATGCAGCTATTAAAGGAAAGGTTGATGTGATTAGTGAAACTGTTTTGTGTGATGCTGATTGTCTAGAAGATTTGAGTGTTCAAAGAGAGAATGCTTTGCATCTTGCTGTTAAGAATAATCAGTTTGAGGTCACAAGGGTGTTAGTGGATTTGACAAGAGAGGTGGACAAGGAACATGTCTTGAACATGATTAGATGACTATGGCAATACACATCTGCACCTTGCTACCTGGAAAAAACAATGGCAGGTAAAGTTATCAACTCTGCTAGTCTGTAGGTTTGCTTTCTTATGTTTGCATCTGGTAGTGAAAGATTTCAAATAAAGCATTTTGATTTGTTTGACCATAAATGCGTGTGAGAAACCATTGGCATTAGAGACTGGTTTGACCTCAAATGAAAATTGAATCTTGTTCGATTTCTTTCACTTTGAAGTGGTTAAAGAAAAGCTGAAGGGAAATTTTGATTCTTGCAGATAATGAATTGTTGATTGGAGAAGGAACCACTAAGTCTCAAGTCTTGGAAGTGAATGCCATTAACAAGACTCATCTCACTGCCCTGGATTTACTAACGATTTTCCCAAGTGAAGCCGGTGACAGGGAACTTGAGGAGATCCTCCAAGGGGCTGGAGCTCTAAGGGCAAAAGACATTGCCGTCTCTGCCAATCCTTCCTCCAAATCTGGTGATTCTGCTGCAAACATGCATGCAACAGCCCAGAGGTGTCAATCCAGATCAAATGGGATACTTGAGTACTTCAAGTTCAAAAAAGGTAGAGACTCCCAAGCGAAGCCCGTAGTACACTGTTGGTTATAGCCATTTTGGTAGCAACTGCAACTTTCCAAGCAGGACTTAGTCCTCCAGGAGGCGTTTGGCAAGATAACAATGTTAGTGGAAGAAACAGTAGCACCAGCGTTGACAGAGAACACTTTGCAGGGTGGTCTATTATGGGCACAACCAATGGGGTTACATTTATCCTCTTTGTTCTCTTCAACTCAATTGGGTTTTCGGTATCTCTTTTCATGATCAATATCCTCACCAAAAATTTCCCTTTGCAGTTTGAGCTTCAAGTCTGCATGGCTGCTATGTTTTTCACATACAACACTGCGATGTTGGTCATTGCACCTGAAAGTGTAAAGCACTACATCATTATATTCACCTATATCTTTTCAACAACTACCCTGCTTCTAACCAAATGGCTTAGACAGCTGACCATGAAACTTGCTGGAGTAGTAAAAGTTGTAACTGATATGATTCGGAAAGTGATCCCATGGGATTACGGACAGGGAGAAAGTAGAATCGCAAATTGGATTCCCTGTGTTTTTTTTACTCTATAAATTCTGAATACTACCAAGGAACTCAGGAATGCAGCTGTCTCTATGATTACAGGCAACAGATTGCTTTTAAGCACATACTCTGATGGAAAGAAGTCACTTTTAGAGGAACTTATCGAGTAAATTGCTTTACAGGATGTCAAACTGATACAAAACTTCTACTCACATTGGACACGGTTAGGTTAGGCCGTGAACATTCTACTTCTTCTTCTTCTTCTTCAGCTTTTTGTTCACATATATACAAACCTTTATACTAAAGCTTGAATTCCACACAAAAGAAATTACTTATCAAGCAACTATCGCATGCTCTCCTACTATCTGGTTATGTTGCTGAGGACATGAAACAACACACCGTTCACCTATGGCACTTCTTACCTGACCGAGTGCTTTGTTTGCTATCTAAATCAACTTGCACCGAGGTTTACAAGAATCCAGGAAACTCGAACACTTGTTCTGAATTAAGATCCATATCCTATGTTATAACTAATCTAGTAATAAGTGCTTTTAAATCTGCTGGTGCAAATTTTTACCTTTTCAATATGGTTCCTCTCCCCTTCATCTTTTACAGAACTAAAAATGTTGGCACAACAACATAAGCTCATTTGCGAACTAGATAATGCCTCTAGAATCAGAGCCACAAATTTATATTAAAATTTTCTAGATTAGTGCAATGCTAAATTAGATTCCAATAAAAAGTAAATAATATAATTCAATGGTTTTATCAATCATCTGAAAATTTACATATTTTATATGTTTTGTTCCCAATTTTACAATCAATACCACAGAATTTACTAGTAAAAATCCGATTCTGTATTAAACATCCAACATTCGATCTCTTTATTTCTTCTGCAATGACTCTCTTTAGGGTAATGTCCCCCGATGCCCAAGCCAAAGATATGTGAGGGCGTGGATCCTGTGACACCTAAAATATTAACTAACTGCTTCATATATTTGCAATTCAATTTTCAAAACCAAATAAAAAAATCACTAGATATAAAAACCTAACCTTGTAAAATTCAGGAAGATTGTGAAGCTTGTAAACTTCATTTACTGCTTCAATCTGCTTGGTTATCTGAAATTAATTGAAACCAAGCAAATCTTATAAAGGAAGTTCTAGAAGTGAAATGGCAAGAAAAATTCTACTGATATATAAAATGGTCATGCTACTCAAGGACAACGGTGTCACACTAGGAATACAAGAACATCATAAGCCAAAAATACTCTTAAAAGATAAGACCTTAAAGACAAAATAACCAATCATCAAAGTTATATGTATTTGGTCGAGTTTGGATGTTTTATTTTTTCCGCATTTGTATATTAAACCTTTCTAGTGGTAAGAAGCATAAATAACATTAACAAAGAACCATGGAAGAGCCGCCTGGAGAAACGAGGTACCTTTTTTCAAAGATGGAGAAAAAAGGTGCTATATTCCATAGTATAAGTCCAGAAACAAAAAATTACTAGCGCACAATTTCCAGTAACTTTAATAACTTACACACAAAGCTGCCTGTTCTTAGTCATGATATCCAAAATGCTTGAGCTAACATTCACAAACTCACGTAAGATCCTTGAAGAAGACATAGATAAAGGAAGAAAGAGTATAAACCAGAAGCAAACAATTTATGCAATTAGAGAGTATCAAATAACACTCAGAACACTCCAGATTAGAAAAAAAAGTTATTGTAAAGCATACCTCAGGTAGCCCTCCTGTAACTACTTCTATCGAAAGAAAGGAGCGAGTCTGTTCATCATTGACAAAAACTTCCCACTTATTAAAATCAATCCAGTACCTGCTCTTTCAAAAAAATAAATGCATCAGAAGAAATTAAACAGGTGAAAATCAAAATGTTAAAAGTTAAAAATCTAACTAAATCATATAATAAAAGAATGTAACACTCTTGACCTCTTTTGAGATTGAAGTTTCTGGCGAAGCATGGCTACCACAGAGTCAATCTGGTGAACTCTAATTGGTACAGTTCTTCCCAAGCTTATGTGGAATTCCTTTCCCAATGCAGCTTGTTGAAGCTTATGATCATCTTTGCAGAGATTATTAAGTGGGACATCAACATCAACAACATGAAGACCTGGCATAGATGCTGCCACCTTCTTCAGAAACTGGCCTATCTCCTTCTTTGATGAAGATGGTATATAAACTGAAAGCAGATAATCCAACATAGCAATAAGCCCAATGAAACAAACTATGAAATATATCCTCAGATACATAAACTCAATTCAATTCCTTTCTTGTAATCTAATTTCCTTGTTAATGAATTAGAAGCCACTGTTCCCACTAATCTAGTGCTTGAGCCACATCATAATACTGCAGCCACAAGTAACGGTACTGTTCAACTGCACCTTATAGATTATTTATCTTACTCAAGGCACATCCAGAAAATGAAATCCGCCATCAATGAGAACTTGAGATTATGGTCAGATTTCAGCCGGCAGTATCTCCTATCAGACCACTTTGTTATAGCAATATACTTACTAGGAACTTAACAATGAGGACCCTCCAGCACAACATATCCTGACATTAGAAAGGAATCCTCTAGCCTTTTCCATGTTCACTTCACATAACCTCAAAAAACCCAGGCTCATTTCTGGCTCACAAATAAACTAATCCACCACTATTCATTGAGCTCTCTTCCCTTTATAATATCACCTGAAATCAGTTATCTTGGACTACACCTTCACAAATACAGGAAGCTCCAAATTTAACTAGTAAAATTAAACTGACAAAATACAGGAACAGAAACAATAATTGAAAACAAAAGAGCATAAGAAAGTACCAGGGATATAGATGTGCAAAGCATAGTTGCCTTCAACATGGGGAAAGCTCCGAACACGACTCGCCGGCTCAATTTCCAAGGAATCAGTTGTCCCTTCGTCATCAAACACATCAATGATTTTCTAGGTCATCGCATATGTAAACAAACTAAGAGTCGTTTAAAACTAAACTATTTTAACTAAACGAATAAAAGAAAAAGAAGATAGAGACAGAATCGAGTATAAAGAATATGGTTATAGCAAGTACAGAGAGAACTGGGAGGACATAGAAGAGAGAGAGGAGGTGGTGGCAATGGCAATGATACTGCGTCATCTTTGGAATCTGAATTCTGGACATTATCGGTGGTGGGTGTTGCAGAGTTCTCGGAGTCCGAATCCGACGACGTGTCTCCGTACGAGGCAATCAATGCTTCCATTTAACCCCGCTCCCTCCCCTCGCCGACCTCTGAGACTCAGCGTATTGGCTATTGTCTGGGTTCTCTTCTCTGGTCGAACCCTTTATCAAACAGGTCGCCCGTATTACTCGTTTTCCTTTTTTTTTTTTTTTTTTTTAAGATAATAAATTTTTTTAGAATAAATTGAAATAATATCATTAGAAACAAATTGTCTATCACGAGCAAATAAAACCTCTTTATAAAGTATGAGCAAACAAATTATAATTTTTATTTATGAATGAAAATTAAAAAAAAAAATGCCTTAATGAAGCAACATCCTCGACAAGCAAGTCAATTTCAAACAAAACTATATATAAAAATATATATGTAAAAAATGTTAAGCACTCGTGTCAATCCTTATATATATATATATATATATTATATACACACACACAACATTCTCTCTCTAATTCGCAATCTTCAATCTATAGATAATTATTTATGCATCGAACAAAGTCAATAGGAATATAAATAATATCTTTTTCACTTCAACAAATATAATATATTTATAGTTATGTTGATACATAATATTTAATTTTATTTAATATTTTCTACCAATAAAGACATCACATTAAATTTATATGTATCAGATTTATCTTAAAATTATATGTATCACAAAATAAATTATGATTGAGAAATGAATATTAGATAGTACCGAAATAATTATTCTACTAATTACAATAATAATTATGACGATAATTTTTTTTATGTTATTTACTATATTTTATTTTTATAAAATAATTATTGTGGTCGTGATGTTAATCATTAAAAAAAATAAAGATAATGACTCATAACAAAAGAACATAATTTAATAACAAAACTTACTCCAGTTATTTTTCTATAAATAATTTTTTATTAGTTTTTAAATTTTAATTGCAACTCATTTTTCTCATTACGGGTCATGATCATGTTCATTATTCATTATTTGCCTATAAATTTAATGGTGTTAACTTTGTTTTCTATTATGTTTGACTCATATATATAAATTATTATGATCATATTCCCACAAAATAGTGTAGTGCTCCTATCTATTAGTTTTTATTGCATAAATGATTATTATTTATCCTTATTACCTTGTGCGTTTTATTACTACTACCGGTTTAGGCTTATTGCCTTTTAAGTACTATATTTTTATTTTGGAATAAATTATTTTCTATATTTTAACCGATAAATTATTGAATTTATGACAAATCTCATCTAAACTTGTGTTAATTTATTATTTTAGATGTAATAGCAAGTTATTGGAGGAGTTATATTGAGAGTTTCATTAGTGTATGTATATAAGGATATCAAATTTATAAAATAATTAATATATCCTTAATAAGCCTAATTATCTAGTTTGAAAATCATATCATAAAATAATAAATTCAGAAAAAAAGTAAATTAATAAAATATTAATGTGCCTATTGATTTTATAATCATGATCATACCAAAAGATTTGTTTCTAAACTACTAAACAAGTGCAAGGAAATTACTTCTTTCATGTTTAAATGAAATGGAGGTTTTGGTATATTTAGATAGAGTGTTATCGTGTCTAAATAGATTTACTGTACTCATAATCAAATAAAAATTAATTAATTAGTAAGGAAGTTAACTCCATATTTTTAATAACGTGAGTTTAATTTATTAAAAATTATGGTATATTCTCATGTGTATTTCATTAAAAGATGATATTATAATTAATTTTTATTTATCACATAATTAATAAAATATACGAATTTTTGGAAAAAATTATATTATGGAAATAGTATCTTATTAAACAATGGGCCTTCGGTCATTTTTCCTACGCTGAGGCCATTGGGCTTTCGACGATATCCATAGTTTAAATTACAACACCAGCCCATAATTTGAATTTTACAACTTTAGCGCGAACAGCTACTCAGTAGTTCCTCCGCTCCTGGTTTCTAGGGTTTCCTTTGGAGCTCAGCTTTGCTAATCTCCATTACTAACCTATCTGTCTTTCTCTATCAAGAGGAAGGCAAAACGGAAATGTCAAATGAAAATTTTAACCTCATGAATTGTAATTCTATCGAAGGGACCATGGAGGAAGACATGCCAGGTCTAATTTCTCAGAATTTCAGAGCTTCAAAGCCATTTTTCGATCGTAAACGACTTCGCGATAACCACTCCTCTGCTCTCGATTGTCTTCCTCACAAGTGAGGACCTCATAGCTCTAATATTTTATTTTTTTTCTTTCATTTCTAAATTCGTTGCTGCTTCTTGGTGCGTTTGGTAAATTTGAAGACCCTGCCTTCTTACTTACTCGTTTGTTTTCCTCATTATATCTTAGATTCAAAAAGACTATCATGAATTTTCTTATTTGTTACTTCCTTTGCACGGATAGTAGAACAATTCGTAATTTAAGATGTTGGTGCAACGGTCCATGTTTTTCCTGTTTGTTAAATTCGGAATTAGGGCCTTATTGTTTGGGATATTATGCGCTTACCCCGAGTCTTTCTGGTTCCAGGACTAGGGACGTTACTGGAATCAAATCCCCAGCTCAGGTTTCTGCCATTAGAAGGTCTCCCCTTGCGGAGATACCTGCGAATTCGCCATCTTCATCTCATGGGATTGTATTTAAATCAACCGTTGGAAAACATAGCAGCATTACGTGTAGCGGAGACTTCCATAAGAGTGAATCAGAAATTCAGATTTCAAACTCAAGGACAATTAGTGTGTTTGTAGAGAGCGATGGTCTTTCAAATCCTTTTGTAACTCCCATGAAAAAACCTGATTGCTCAATTTTAAGTGATTCTTTTTCAACACCTAGCCTTCTAGATGATGATTTTGATGAATCTCTTTTGGAAGAAATTGATGCGGTATATGAGCAAAAATCTGCGACAAAAGGAGAAAGTCGAGATACAAGTATTAGCTTGCATGTGGAGACTGACTACAATGACAACAACGACAGTGATTGTAAGACCAGTTCAGACTCCATTGTTAATGACGAGAGTGTTGCAACCAAAAGTGAATTGAACCATGGTGATGTTCTGGGATCCAGAGAAGAGGACAGAAGAACATCTATCACTGTGGAGGTTGGGAGCATGCCTGATGAGTACCAGAAATACTTGCAATCTTTGAATGATAAGCAACGTGAAGCAGCTTGTAGTGATATTTCAGTTCCTTTAATGATTGTTGCTGGTCCAGGAAGTGGAAAGGTCTTGGTTTTTTCATTAGTTTACACATAGATATGAATGCTTGTTTTTGGATTTTTGTTTGTACCATGAACTGATTCTCTCTTTCTAATGCGGAAAATGACTCTTGTCATTTGATTCTAGACTTCCACAATGGTTGGGCGTGTTTTTATGCTGCTCAATGAGGTATTTATCAATTTCATGCTTTTTAAGAATATAACGATATTTTATCCATTGGGTGTGCATTGTTTCAAAATTTTCTCCAATGAGCTTTAGTTGAAACATTCTCTTATTGATGCTATTTATGGTCTTTGGGTTTCACACATATCTAGTGTCTTATGGAATTCAAAAAGCATGTTGCTTCTTCTATTTTAATATATCCTTTTCTAATGGTGGTTCCAAATTTCTCTAAATTTCTTTATCTTATCTTACTTCCTATTCTCTAATATGTCAGGGCATTCATCCATCAAACATACTTGCAATGACTTTCACCACAGCTGCAGCCTCTGAGATGAGAGATCGTGTCGGAGCAGTAGCTGGGAAAGCAACAGCTAAAGAACTTACAATCAGCACATTCCATTCATTTTCTTTACAACTGTGTCGTTTACATGCAGAAAAGTATGTGTATCTTGGCCTCGTATGGTTTTCCTCGAGTTACAGATGCTATTGTCTCAATTTGTTGTTTTGTTTCTTTCCTGTTGCAAAGAAAATAGCAAATTTAAATATTTTTAGCTCTTTGATAACTATGATATGCTTTAACAGTAGTCAAAATCATGAACCTAGACTTACTACTGCTTGATTTACTGAAACTGCTTACTTACTAGCTTCATGGCAATATTCAAACATCACCAACTTGATTTGTTCGCCATGTTATGTCAGCTTGTGTTTTGTATGCCAGAAAAAAATATTGTGTTTAGTTGTCCACTTTGTGCGAACATTGGTTTTGTTTATTTTAGTTAGTTCTCACTCGCTATTTCCCTATGTTATAGGTTGGACCGCACAACGGAGTTCTTAATATATGGACATGGACAACAGAGAAGAGCAATCATAGAGGCAGTGAGGTTATTAGAGAATGAAAACAATGGAGAGAACTGTGAAACTTGGGAACCGGGTGGTGGCTCTAATGGTACAAGGCATCCAGAATATTTCAAGGATAAGTCAAGAAAGTGGCAAAAGTTTGTGAATCAGGTTTGTGCCGAAGACTAGTAGAAAGAATCATTATTTTTGTTAACTTTCAGTTTTCCTTTCTCTGTTAACTGGTCATAAGACTGAGTTGCTTTTGTAAGATTGTTATGTTATGGGAGTGTTACTTAGATTACTTGCTTAAACGTATAGTCACTAGAAAAAAGCATATGACACAAGATAAAGAGAACTTAACGACAAAACTTAGAGAAAATTTATTAATAACCAAAATTAGAGGTCTCAGATCTCAATAATCAAATTAATATATCAATATTTGAATAAAAATTATGTATAGTCTACTAAATAATTAAATTTTGATATCTTATTTATAGACGCTAGAATAAAATTAAAATAGGATTTTTTAATTCTATTTAGGAATTCTATAAAATAAGAAAATAAGCTATTTAATTTGAATAATCTATAGTAGAAATAACATAATATCATCCTAACTAAATAGAAAATAATAAGCTTCTTCCATATAAATACTAGTTCCTAACTAACCTAAATATCTTAATAATATATAAACATTGCAATAAATGTTCTTTATGATATAAATGCATCTACTTTAGGATCTTCCTGTTCTGCATTACCTTTTGTTTTCTGTCCATCTTTACACCAGTAATACACCAATTAAATAAGAACATTTGCAGTGGATTATCCTTATTTTGTTGATGTGGAGGGTGGTTTACAACAACATTCCCTCCCTCAATAGCGAGGAACGTACCTTGAACTTAAGAGCAAGATCAAACTCAATGGCAACCCTGTCACGCTGCCTCTCCAATTTGGTTTACTCCCTCTCTACTCACCAACATCACCCTGATATAATTCCATAAAGGACTCAGTTTGCCAGGAATTGGAAACAAGAGATTCATCCAATACTCGCTTCTGGTAGCAAAATGTTTGGCCCCTTGATCGGGATCTACTCATGGGCTTGTGAACCCTTTGATCTCTTAATGCTAAAGGTGAGGGCTCACTAAGAAGGAATCCTTTGATCTCTCACATAAAGTATGAGGGTTCATTGAGAGAGAACCATCTATAGAGTTGAAGAAATTCAAAACCTTTGTCTTTAGTTTTTCTCATTCCAGTATTTGAACTTAGACAAGAAGAAACTTAATTGCTTCTCGGTGGTAGGTAATTTACTCATGTTGAAAGAAATCACCACCACGTCTATAGGAAACTAGAAACTAATACATCATGTCTAGAAGCTGTCTGCAACTCACACTATAAAGGCCGGAAACCTAATCGATTTAGCTCCCTTTTCTTTTGCCAACGTTTCCTCACTTATACACTAGCCCACTAAATGGGAATGTTTATAATGGAGTGTCTTAGAGACAAGAAAATAGAATGATGTGAGAGGAGTATTGTAGAAATATAACAGGGGATAGAGAGGTATTCACGAAAAATAGAGAAGAAGGAAAAAATATGTATGATTACATATAGGAGAGAAGAGGAGAGAAAAATAGAGGACAAGTGATCCTTATAAGAATGAAAAAAATAAAAAAGATTACTAGTATTAGCATAAAACTACTCTAAAGAAAATATATATTTACACTACAACTAAAGAGATGCCATAAATTCCATTATATTCTAGAAAAATTGAGAAGATAAGGAATGTTCTGAGACAATGTTTATATTTTACTCCTACCAGAACACTCATAACCTACAAAAATAATTTAGCTCTAGAGAATTTGACTCTTGTTCTTCTTACCAACACCATGGAGGGAGAAAGAAATCCAACACTTTATAGAAGGGGGAGAAACCCATTTAGGTGTCGAAAGTATCAAATATTCTAGCACATATACTCTGAGTTACATTGCAATGCAAAAACAGGTGATTGTGACTTTCTCTTGTAATAAGACATCACATAGACATCGAGGATAGAGTGCCCTTGGGCTATTTTGCTTGAAGTAAATTATAGGTGTCAAGTATCTTAAGAATAGTACTCCGAACACCTGAACCTTATATTAGAATTCACTTTCCAAAAATTGTTGATAGAATTAGGGTAAGACACATAAAAAAGGATCTAGAAGTATAGAAATCAGAATAATCTAAAGTCCACATACTATGGCTCCGTCTCCAATATATGCTTATAACTTTAGTGCCTATCCATTTTGGTGCAACCCATATTACTCTTACGCTCTGTGCCTCAAAGAAAAAGGTTCCAACATCAAAGCCATTTCGACAGTAAAGATAAGTCTGTAGATACTAAGTTCCTAATACCCATTCCTCAAAAAATACACCCTCCATCCAATCAAGTGATCTCTTGATGCATCCCTGGGAACAAATTTCTTCATTACCCTCTCAATTTTTCCAGCCACACCCCTAGGAATCTTGAATAAAGATACGAAAGAATGTTAGAAAGACAAGCTTGAATACGCGTAAGCCTACCTTTTGGAGAAACAAACTACCTTTCCCAAAATAGATGGTGTTTTGGACTCGAGATTAAGTTAAGCATGAGCCCACTACTAAAGCTTAGCCAAACTAACCTTAGATATTTTTGGCACATTGCTCTCTTTTTTCTAGGATGTTAGTTGGTCCATTTGGAATAAATTATGGCATTATCAGGTATCTAAGCTTCTACTGAAAGGAACATGTTATCGCTCTAATTCGTGTATCTTTTTCTAAGTAATTTGGAAAGAGAAAAACATAAGGGTTTTTTATAAAGTAGAAACTTGTCTATCCAAAATCAAAGACAAAAAATTTCATTCTTTGATCTTTTAGTTGATTGGGCACTCTAGTTTTAGCAAGGTATATCTTGGACATCTTGGAGCTATTGTTATTAGGTCTGGTTAGTGTAAATTGGTGGTGACTGACTCTTCGTTATTCTTAGATATTGTATTATAATAAAAAATTTGTGAATTGTGTTCGCTTTCTTAAGTCATTGAATCCAAATGCAATTTATTGTGTTACTTATAATTGGGTTTAGGCAAAAGTCACGAATTATTTCTCCATTCCTATTTATTATTTTGTTTTGTTGCTATACGTAATTGTTTGAGTGCTTTATCAAAATCCTTTGTCCCATATATTTCATTTCTCCATTTTAATAATAGCTTTTTATTTCTGAACCGTATCTCTTCCTCCTTTGCAGGCAAAAGCTTTTGGAAAATGTCCTTCAGATTTCGGCAGAAAGGGTGATGAGATAGGAGTAAGTAGATTGATAAACTGCCATTTTTGGTATTTTAAATCTTGTAATTAGCTTTAAGTCTTGTGACCTGAGCTCTGGATCTGAATCAGGCTTCAATTCTTCGAAATTATAACAATATATTGAAATCGTGTAATGCTTTGGACTATCATGATTTGATCAGTTGTTCGGTCAAGCTGCTCAATGACTTTCCTGAAGGTTCACACCGCTTCATGCTTCATCAATGCGTGCCACTTTACATGTTCCTCATGCATAATAGTTTTTTGCTTCATCAATTTTCAGTGTTGAAGGAGTGCCAAGATTCCTGGAAAGCCATCATAGTAGATGAATTTCAGGACACTAGTGCCATGCAATATAGTCTCCTGCAAGTTCTTTCATCTCATAGCCGTGTGACTATTGTTGGAGATGATGATCAGGTTCAGTTTCATCTTTTAGATCTTTATTTTCAAGAAGTCAAAATGTCTTATTTCCCTCATCTCTTTTCTCATTTGTTCTCTCAGTCTATATGAATCAAAGACCTTCCTTAATTGCTCTAATCAAAATTTCCAAATATGCAGTCCATTTTTAGTTTCAATGGAGCGGATGTTTCAGGCTTTGATTCATTTCGTAAAGATTTTCCAAACTACAAAGAGGTCTGGGCAGTTCTTAGTTGTGTCTATCAGTAATTTGATTAATTTGATTAGTATATTAGTTCTATCATGTTTCAGATGGTTAATATATGTCCATGATTCAGATCAGACTTATTAAAAACTATCGATCTACACGTTGCATTGTTGAGGCTGCATCTTCTATTATACAAAATAATAAGAAGAGATGTCAGTCAAAAGATTTCCTAACGGAAAATTCTCAAGGGTCCAAGGTATAATATTGTCCCAAGTCCCTTCCCTAAAATTTTTATCCTCATTGCAGTTTAAATTGGATTCTTAATGGTTTGACCCACAATTCAGATAACCATCAAGGAATGCCACAACGAGGATGCACAATGTGCATTTGTTGTTGACAAGATCTTGGAAATTGCAAGTAGTAGCTCAGCTGATCAATGCTCCTATAGCAATATTGCGATTCTATATCGGCGGCAGGTTCGCCTTCTATTTTGTTAATGTGAACTAATTACCTTTAGATATGTGCTGTTAAGTTCTAGCTTCACCCTATACAACAGGTATCAGGGAAATTGTTCCAAACAGCCTTCCGAGAAAGGAACATACCATTCAATGTTCATGGTGTAGCCTTCTACAGGAAAAAGGTTAACTACATAATTTTATTATATAATATCTTTGTATCTGTAGTGGATATTTTTAAGTACGAAATGCATATTAAAAATTTCTATTTCTGGTTAACTTTTCTCAAGCACAAGCTAACACCATGAAAAACTTGATAGCTTACGAGATTTATTAAATAATCATTCTGTATGTCATTGCGTGTATAAGACTGAGCTATTTGTAGGCAACAGTAAGTTTGAGCAAAACTCTAGAGTGTATTTATCTAGTAAAACTCTAGAGCAGTATACACTAGGAAGCTAATATGGTATCAATCCAAATGCACTAGGAAACTAACACCTTCAATTGCTTCCTTGCATTCCAAGAAATCAGACTTGATCGAAAAAAATCAAATATCTAGTAGTGTATTCTTGTATTGCATTTTACACTTTTATGGGAAATAGATAAACAACACAATATCTATCCTAATGTCTGACAAAAAGTTCTTCTCAAATTTTAGTTTCATTATTCACTCAAGTTTTAGTTTCATTAGGGTTTTTCCTCAGTAGTCTCTAGGTGAGTGTATGTCTGTACACCAATTCTTTGAAATTTTTGTGAATTGGGCCTAGGATTTAGAAATGAGAAAAATACATTATAATCTCCAGACTTTGGATTCTGTCCCACGTTGTAAGCCGCATTTATCAAATTACATAAATTCCTTTTTGTCCTTTACTTTCTTCTGCACTTTTTTGCTTGTTATTTTTCATTATTGACTACAAGTTCAAATTGTTAGCTTTTTGGTTATAGAAAACCAATTTGCACAGGTTATTCAGCTAATTCTTAGGGGCCAACTTAATTATTGGAATTGACAAGAAATTGAAACGTGCCCTCTGCCTAACCTGAACAAATCTATCAGGTGTCATCTATTTTCCCTTCTCCTCTTGTAGATTATAGCTTCAATAGAAGATTGACTTGCACTTTTCAGTATCAGCATGTGCTCCTCAATTAGTGGGGCTCTAGGATATTTTCTGACTGGTTATGCAACTTTTATTCTGCTAAGGTGTTCATTTTTCGCTTGATAACAAGGCATAGTTCTCTGGGGAAATTTCCATGCAAGTGCATATGAATGCACAAAGGAATTTAGTTCTTGGGGAACAAATCAGAAAATTTGGAGCTTTTATATACTACTTCCGTTCTTCTTGTTGCTTATCTAGTATTCATTTTATGCTGTTTCCACTTCTTTTCTCCAAAATGTGACCGCTGAGTGCTATTTTACTTTTCTGCTCTAGCTTGGATGTTAACCAAACACCTTTTTTTAGTAGGTAGTCAAAGGCATTATTGCTATGCTTAGAACAACATTATCTGGTTGCGGTGATGACCCATATCGTCAAGTTTTCAAGGCTTTACTTCCTTGTGGGAAAGAGGAAAAGAAAAGGGTACAAATTTTAGTTGCCTGGCTGGGCTTGAGCTTGCTTGTCTATGTTTATGTTACTCTTTTATTTTAAGACTTATTGTAAAATTCTTAGATCTGAAACTGCCTTTCAATTTTGCAGGTAATAGGCCACGTTGATAAAATTTCAACTATTAGAAAAAGCAGCTTCATATCGGCTGCCTGTGACATTTTTAATGCAAAGATTTCCGGTACCTTCAAAAGGTTTCCTGAAAATACTTACCTCATAATTTTTATATCTTAAAGAAAATGTCTAATATATTTCAACATCTGGAAACATGTCCATTCAAATTTTATCTGGAACAAGGCTGGATATGTTAATGCCTATTTACTTAAAGAATTCTCTCTCTCCCTACCAACTTTTAATGTTGTTTGATGGATGTAATTTGTTGATACAGGAGTCAGCTTACCCAAGGACGTAAGGTGTTGGTAACGCTTGAGATGATATCAAAACTTGTTAATAGGGTATGCATATTGCTTTTAATACATGGGTTACCATATTCATCAAGAATTCGCCTTTGATGGAAATTCATCCATTTATCA